AAAGTAGGGGTTAAGGAATTTTTGGTTTTTTTGAGTTATGAAGAAGAAAACAATGTATGAATTTTTTTGCTTTACAGTTTTTCAACCTCCCTCCCGCTGAGTATAAATTGTACAGTGAAAATTTGATTTGTTTATTATTTAGTTTGCTGGCCTTGTTTATTCGAAAAATTTGTGATAAGATGTATTTCTTACTTTGGAAAATAGTGTAACAAAGTAGTTGGCAGCCTTGCATCTTCTAGTTTGAAGACACTGAAGCAAGCATTCAGCATGAGTATTAAGGAATAATGAGTCGATCATTGACCCAAAATAGGCGTATTTTGGGATTGCATTGCTTTCTATACCTTGTGAGCATCCTGTAATTTTAAAAATTATTGACCTCTAAAAAAAGGTTTCTAATTTAAAAGTAGGAAGAAGACAGTAACTGCTTACTCAGCACAAAATACTGATTATGCTAGATCAAATAAGAATTTTTAGTGATAAAATTTTGAGGAAAAGTGTTGCTGAGACAAATTTAACTAGGGGAAATGGTTGCTTTTTTTATTTACGTCTTAGATGATTGGTTATTGTGCACAAGAAATGATACTACCTTCTATGTACGCCAAATCAAAGAATCCTTGTGAGGACGGTGGTTGCAGATAAGCTCGTTCATCGCCGTACCAGAATACCTGGGATTTTGTTGGTAAGGTGAGTAAGCAGTTGACTAACAAGAAATTAGTGAGTCGATGAGGAGCCGCCATTTTTGGGTAAAGTCTGTTGTAGTGCCGCACGGAGTTTGTCGTCATTTAATTCTTCTTCCCTTCTGGGGTGTGCAAAACCAACAACGATGGGCATCTGTCGACGTCAGAAAAAAATTGCAGAAATGCTCCGCCTTCTTTTTTTTTTTCTCTCCCTATATTGTCTACTATATGCGTTTTGGGACCCTTATTGGGTTTCTTCAAGTTTTCATACCGCATTTTTTTTCTTTTTATTTTTATGTTTTTTATTTTTATTTTTTGCCTGCTGCCTGTATCAACTGTAAGTAACGTTATTTAATTGATATTTACTAAATTGAAAGAAGGAAACAGAAGGAGATTCACTTCACCATTTTCACGCAAACAAAAGTATTTATGGAATTTTTTTCGTGTAAATAATTTTTTAAACAGTTACTCATATGGCACGCTTGAGACTGTTGATAAAAATTGAGACATTTTTTTTTTTTTAATGAATGATTGTATGAATAAATAAATTTGTAAATCATTAAATAAATAAATTAGGTGAGTATACACGGAGAAACTGTTAATTGAGTACGAAAACAAATAAATAAATAGCTTTCGAGACTATTGATAACAAAACGTATCAGTGAGGGCGTCTGGGAGGTCATTCTAACTATCAAGGGTTAAGAAAACATTCAGTTAGGAAATCAAGTGAGTAATAACTAAATTTAGATACTTGAATGAACGATGTTTAAGTGTACAAGAATTTAGAGTTTGGAAGAAATAGGTAGAGAAAGGTTCTAATACACATAGATCAATGTGCGTGCAGGTAGAAAAAAGTTTTGTTGGTTCATGTGTAGCAAGGCTTCCAATCTGTACTTCTGTTTCTTTCTTTTTTTTCTCTATGTTAACAGATTTTTTGTTTTTTTAGAATTATTTAATCTTTAGTTTTCATATTTTGAACCTTCAACGTTTGCCCGTGATTGTTCTTCTCTTTCTCAAATTTCTGATACTTTGGTCAACAATCAGGTTTTTGTTATTAATCTTAGCTCTTGCTTCTTTTTCTTGTTACAGCTGACGGGAATTTTTTTTTTGAATGTTTCAGAGAAGTCATATTTTTTTGGCTATGATAACGGCAACAATAAGAAGGAAAAACATTAGTAACAAGCAACTTGGTTAACGGGTACAGAGAATCATTTTTAGTATATAATTTTGTTCAGTTATATGCTGTAGGTTTACTGTTGACTATTGAGCTCTATTTAGAAGAAAAAAGAAAAATGTTCATGTTTGTTTTTGCTGTATACGGTAGTGAAATGGGAGGTTTTTACTTCAGATAAAATAATTTTGAGGAAGAAAAAAAAAAA